ACCCAATTTATTAAACGAAAAAGGGAAAATACAGTAAAACATTTTGGACGTTACAATTATCATTTATTATTTATTATATTATTTATGGCATTAAGAGTGTACAGTATGAGCCAATCAGTGGCAGTAATGACAGAGCATGCATTGTTACCCAAAAACCGCGATAGAGTGAAGCCGCGGAAGTCGAAGCGCGAAGTGGCGAGGGTTCACTGTATAGCATAATCATTACCTTTGATAATAATTAAACAATCAATGAATAATTAGATTCTTCACACAGCACGTCATGGAAAGTACAAGCTAAGCATTATGTATCACCCTTGCTGGTAGTTATTAGCAGCAGAACAAGGGAAATAATATTTATTGACTTTTATTGACTGTTTACTATGCGAGAGGTGCTAGTCTAAGTGCAGTAAATACACATTAAGTCATTTAAGCCAAGGGAACAAAGTCACAAAACAGTTCCTCAATTAAGCTAAGGCCACATAGTTGATCAAGGACAGAAAAGAGCAAGGTAGCCACATGTTGCCTTAATAACATACTGTCACGAAAGAGGACCAGGAAGGAGACCTGGGGACACTGTCAGGTAAGTGTCCAGCTGCCAACCACGAGGTCCATGATTCAAACCTACCCGTTGCTCCCTGGGAGAGAAAGATGAGGCTGTCTCCTCCTGTAAAGAATCCATAGTCTCAGAAACCCTATAGAGGGTCCCTATGGGTCAGAATCAGCTTGGTGGCAGTGGGTTTGGGTTTAGAGAGGAACACATAGTGGGACCTGACTCACTAGAACTCTTGAATCTGAAACTGGTGCTCTAACTCTGCCTCCGTTTTTCTAACATATCTGTACCATATCTGGAGAGATCAACTATGCAGATCTGCCTAAGTCACCAGGAGAAACTATTCTTCTTTTTGGGTTCCTTTTCTATGCTTGCCATATACCCATTATCCATTACGAAATGAATACATAATAATTGTAGCGAATAGAAGAAACAAAAACAAATCTAAAGCAGAAATCTCCACTACAGCCTACAAAAACAACAACAACCCAAACCTCCCTTATCCAAAATCTCACCATCCAGAGGTCACTACTGCTAACATTCTAACACGTTTCCTTCGGCCTTTTAAAAATTGTATTTGCATCGCTGAGATCATACTGTAAATGTCATGTGGAACCTGGGTTTATCGTTTTCCCTATTTCAGAACATAAACTCTTTGTACATAGCACTTTAAACGACTGCAAAAAAATAAAATCATCCATCACACAGGCTCCCCATAATTCATTTAGCTGCGCCTTCACAGTTGGATATTTAGATTGTCTCCCATTTTTCACTACTATAAATAGCACCACTATGGACATGCTAGTCCACAAATCTCTGAGCACACTGCAAAATTTTTTCTTCAAAACTATTTTTTTAGGACAGTTTCCCAGAAATAGAATTTCTAGTGTAAATGCCATGGATTTTTTAAAAGATTATGTAGAGATGTAGTATTATTCTTTGTAAATAACAAATAAATTCTTTATAAATAAGTGGAAATGCTTGCAGGGGTGGACCCAAAGCTGTGTCAATGTTTGCTCTTGTGCGTATATGTAGATAAGGAGGAAGTGGGTGGAGCAGACAGGTTTGGGGATTTTATCTCTTTTATCAGACCCCTGGACTTTTTTTCTTCTGAACTACTTCTGGATTTTGGGCTACGTGCTGATTAAATATTGATCAGTGGATGCCAGCAAATGGAAGTGAATCTCAGGTAGGGAGCTTGCATGCCTTTTCCAAGTAAGCTCTTCACGGTGTCAGTGAGATGTGACCCCTCAGCAGTTACACCCTGGCACAGCACTTGCACTGCCATTCTCTCCACAGCTCCTCACAGATCCTGACCGAGATGGGACTGGGATAGCCATTATCGTTCCCAGTTCATTCATCAGAAACTCAGAGAGAAGTGGCTTAAGCCATCACAGAGCTAATTGGAAAGAATGTGGGAGTAGAATTCTTATTCCATGCTCCAGAACATATGTGATCGTTAAATACAGCAATGGCAGGAACCATATTTCCCCCTCTCCATGCAGGAACTCTGATGGCATCGTGGTAACGCATTGAGCTGCAATCCACAAGGTCAGCAGTACAAGCCCCCATCTGCTCCATGAGAGAAAGATGAGGCTTTCTATAGTCTTGAAAACTCACAAAGGCAGTTCTACCCTTTTCTATAGGGTTATTATGAGTTGGCATCTACTCGATGGCAGTGAGTTTGGTTTTGGGTATGAGTACCCAATGATTTTGACAGGTCCACCATTCTTCAGGGGTGCCTTGTCCTGTCAACCCACAGCTTATTTAGTTAGGTGAATTTGAATTTGAAGAAAGAGGTTTAGTGACAGGAACAGAGAATAAGAAGTCTGGAGGCTTGGGTTCTAAGACAAAGGTGTGTCAAAAATTTCTAAGGGATATGTCAAGCTGCAAACTATCTCTCTCTGATTATCAGTTTCTCCATCTATGAGAGGTATGCTGGACCAGCCTCTGGCGTTCTATGAGTGCGGGCTGGACTCCAGGATCAGTGTGATCTTGCGCACGTCACTTACCTGGCTCAGTTTTGGTCGTGCAGTGGCTGTCTTCAAGGTCCACAGTTGTAAACCCAGCCACTCTTTGGAGAAGAAAGATGGAGCATTGCACTCTTGTAAACAGTTCCAGTCTCGGACTCAGGTAAACAGTTCCAGTCTTGGAAACTCAGAGGCAGTTCTATTCTGTTCTATAGGGTCATTATGAGTTGAGTTTGACTCAATGGCAGTGATTTTTTAAAAAAATCAGACTATTAGTGGCTACCACACATGTAACTTGCTATTGGGCAAATTACAAGAGATAATGTATGCAGAGTCCTTGGCACACAATAAAGACCAATGAAAGGCTGTTCTTTCCTTTGATTAAGTAAGTTAATATGTAAAATGCTAAGGACGGTGTCTGCCACTTCGTAAGTGTTAGTTTTAGTTCTGGTATTAGCTGTCATGATCAGTTTTCAGGTAGCTGATGGGTTTGAACTGCCAGATTTTGCTGATAATTTCTCTTCTAGCAGAGACACCTTCAGTAACTGATCACTCACTCACTGCCATGAGTCAATCCTGTCTCCGAATTATCCCCAAAGGACAGAGTAGAACTACCCCTGTGAGTTTCTGAGATCAATAAGTGATTCAGTTCAGTCCATTGCCATCAGGTGGATTCTGACTCATAGTGCCCCGACAGGCCGCCTAAAGGACAAACTGCCTGTGTGAGTTTCCAAGGCGATATAACTCTTTAGAGGGGTAATAGAATGCCTCATCTTTTCCCAGCGGAGCTGCTGCTGGTTTCAAACTAATGACCTAGATGAGGTTAGCATCCTATGCCGCCAGGGCTTCTGGACCAGTGATAGTCATCATTATTGTTTTCTGGTCTCATCCCCCTCCATTTCCCTTCAAAGGCCTCATCCCAGCCCTCCCAATGTCGGGTTCCACTAACAGTCCAAGAGCTTTCACACCCAGCGTTTGTCTGGGCCATTTCCTCTGCCTGGCGCTTGGTTCCCCTCCGGGACTCCTGGCTTTCACCAGCCCCTCCTCCCAGGCTGAAGGAATGGCTCCTTGATTTGTGTCCGCCTAAAAGAAACCCAACTCCTTATAGCTCTTAGTCCCATTGTGCCTCACGTTACAACAACACTGTCATTTCTGCTACCAAGGGTGGCGGCCTCTGAGAATGAGTACTTCGTCTCCCAAGGCATCTGCACCCAGTGGACAAAGTCTACTGGCCCTTGTGCAGAGGGGTCCAATTGAACCCCTGGAAGGCTGAGTTCCCCGTCTCTCCCTTGGCCAAGCAAATGCAACCTTCTCCCCCAACTACGCTTCCCCCCTCCCCCACCGCTATAGGGACTCAGTCTGCGTCCCTCCCGCACAGCCCCGCAACTGAACGCGCACAGCTCCCTAGGGGTCTTGCCGGCCCCGCCTCGGTCCTCATCCCTTCCCCCTCTCCCTCCTCCGCCTCCGCCCTGAAGGCGGAGCCTAGCGGTCCAGGGATTGGGATCCTGGTGAAGAGGAGCTGGGCGAGCAGGGGGTTCCCGGCTGGGGCCAGTCATGGTCAAGGTTGTGTGAGTGCGGAGTGCGAGAGGGCTCGCTGCCAACATGTCCGGGGGCGTGGGCGCTGCCCAGCTTTGCCTACTTGCTTTGGCTTTGCCTCTGTTCCCGCCGTTGGCTGCGCGCATGAAAGGATGGGCCAGAAGTAAGTGGCGGCCGCCGGGGGTGGGCCGGCGGGTGGGCCGGGTGAGGCGAGGGCTCGGGAGCCGTCCTGCGCGCCCGGCGCCCGGGAGACGGCCTGGCAACTCCGCCCGGCCTGCGTCCCCGCTCGCCCCTTTGTCCCCGCGCTGTGCGTCCCAGGAACCGGCCTCCCCCCGGTTTGCATCCCCCTCTCACTTTACTGTTTTGTTGTTGTGTTTTGTTTTTGACCCTGCTCTGCCTTCTTTCCCAGCTGCTCTTCCCTTCTCCGGTCTCCGTGCTCGCAGTCCCACATCTCCGCTCCGCCGCTCTCTGAACCGCTCCCGACTCTCTCAGTCTCTCCCTCCTAGCGCCTCTCTTTCTTTGTCTTCTTTTCTGTCTGTTCTTCTCTTCTAGGGACGAGGTCAGACTGTTCCCCAGCGCTCCTGCCGCCAGACCCAACTGTCCTCTGAACTCTCATTCTGAAAGAGAAACTGAGGCACAGGGCGCTCCCAGCGAGTTCGTGAAAGCTCTCGCTTCCAGGGGAACCTGGGTCGCCTTGAAAGGGTAGGGAGTCCCGGATCGCAGCGCAGGCACTTTCTCTGGGTTCCGAACTCTTGGAGACTGCTAAGTGAGCTAGAGCCATGGACAGCCATGAAAAATGTTCAATGAAACGACCCGTATCCCCCAAGTCCACATTTGCTGTTAATCTGTTGTTTGGATCTGTCTCTCGAATCTTTGTGTGTTCCTATCCATATATATTGACAACTGGAACCATGCCACACATGCTGTTTAGTGTTTGTGCATTTTCACATTGTCTTGTGGGTATTTTTCACCTTAAATTCTGCCAAAATATGATCTTAATGGTTTTATAAATCCCATCAGGAGTGCTTTATGTTCTCCTATAGAATGAAAATGTGGCAAAGACATTCAGTTCATCAATGAGTGAGTCAAGGAGCAGGCTACTTCAAAGGAGCATTTAAGGAACAGACAGGAAGAAGGAACTGAGATCCTAAGATAAGGACATACAGAAAAGTGATAAGTGCCCAGCAAGTGTGTATGTGGGATGAGGTGGGGTGGGGTGGGTGGGGGTGGGGGAGCAACTCCCTCACAGCTTTCCTGTTATTTTTCTTGTTGTTAGTTTCTGTAAAGCCCACTGAGACTCCTTTAGGGTTCTCCAGGCTGGAGCCTGTTGGAAGAAGATGGCCAGCGTGCCAAGCTGCCAATGGGTGTATTCACACAGCAAGCGTTTCTACAGATAGTCAAGCTTTTGATTTCTTGTTTAACCAGTAAGGGCACCAGGGCCCCTTTTATCTGACAGAAGTGGACACTAACACAGGACTTCAAGGCGCTCTTTTGGTGTTGTAGTGGGTATGTGCTGGGCTGCTGACCACAAGGTCGGCAGTTCAAGACCATCAGCTGTTCTGCGGGAGAAAGACAGGTTTCCTATTCCCTTAAGGAGTTAGTCTGAGAAACCCACAGGGGTAGTTCTAGTCGGGAGCAACTTGATGGCAGCGAGTTTCGTCTGAGTTTTGAACATGTGACTTCACAGGGACTGGGCATTCTCAGGGACTAGTACATTCTCCATGCTTTTTGCCTTATTTGCAAGTTTGAAGATTTTTTTCCTTATGATGTAACGTGCTTAGTGCACATTTAGATTCCTGTGAATATTTTGTACCCTTAAGTATCATTAGACTTCTTTAAAAATTTTGGCCTTTATTAGTGTCACCAGTGCAGAGACTATGCCTGTCTGTCCCCCCCACGGATATCAAATGCCGTCAGCCTGTCATACTCTGATAGTTTATGTGTTGCTATGTGGCTGAAAGTTTTGTCACCCATATTTCAGATACCAACGGGGTCACCCATGGTGAACCCATTTCGTTGGTGCTTCCAGATAACAAATAAAGGCTTGGTAATCTGAAAATTACCCTCAAAAGAGAACATTGTTTGACTCACTTGCCTTGCATAGATCATCAGGAGGAATCAATTGCTAGAGGAGGATGTCGTGTTTGGTGAAATGAGACTGAGGGAGGTGGATGGGCCCAATAGTTACAAAGATGGACTCTCTGTTGACAATCATGAGGAGGACTCGGGACCAGGCAGTATTTCATTCTGCTGTTTGTCAGTTTAACAGTAGCTATCCACCTCTAGGGCAGTGAGCTTGGCCTTCATGGGATCTACATAGTGTGTGTTCAGAAACTATCTGGATAATAAATGAATGCACTGCTTCTGACTTTTACCAGCCCAATAAGATGAATGCTAGCTTGGCCAGGTGAGATGATGTTTTAGGATATATATTAAATGAAACACACTGTATCAGGAAGGAGAAAGGAAAATTATGATCCCATCACTCATTGTGCAAAGAACTGGTCTTTTATCCATCTTTTAAGCCAGATCAAAGGTAGTGAAGGTACCTTTATGGAATGGATGGCAAAGATGAGTCTTGGATTTACCAATGCAGAGAGCACAACCCAATCACAACATTGACTCGGCGGGGCTATTGTGGAATAACCGCATTCGAGGTAGAGCGGCCATTTCAGAAGTTTATGGTGACTGTTTTTTGGATTCCAGGAGAGTAATCTTTAAAGATTTTCTCAAAGGATGCAGGATGATCATGGAGGCTGATTATGAAGAATTTTTTAAGAAAATCGAAAACTGGTGGGGAAAAGGCCAGGGAAAGTTCCCCCAGAATGTTTTTGCCATCACTATGCATCTGTTCACTCTTCATTGTAACTTTAAAACTTACTTGAGAGTCATAAATATGTTTTTACAAACCAATGGAACCACCATGATCTGAATAATACCCTTTAACATTTTTTCAGTTTTACTTCAGAGCCACATGTCCATATTGGTAGAGCTGAATATAGCTCAAGAGCTGCAGTTGGCCAGCCGTGGTAGAGGAACAAGGGCCATGCTACAAGAATTTCATTGGGAACCCTAATCTGATTGCTCTGCAGTCCTGATCTTGTCTCTCCAGGGGTCTTTTTGTTTCCCAAACTCAAGGAACTTTGAAAGGGAACACAATTTGAAACCCCAGAGAATGCCAAAACTGCCACTCAACACAATTTAAATCGAAGAGCATGGGATTTTTAAGGGGAAGAGTATAGAGATGGAAATCCTGCGTTCAAACTTTTCTACATCTAAATGGAGAATATGGAGCCTTGGTAGAGTGGTTACTAGTTGGGCTGCTACCTGCGAGGTTCAAATCCATCAACTGCTCCTGAGGAGAAAGATAGGGGTTTGCACTCCCAAAAAGAATTACAGCTTCCTAAACTCAAAGAGGCAGCTCTGTCCTAGCCTATATGAGTCATCGTGGACTCGATGACACCGAGTTCGGAGATTCTGAAGATGACGGATATGTTGAGAAACAGTTGCTTCACATATGTTTGCTTAATAAAGGCGTTTATAGCTGTGTAGCAATACTTTTTGACTTCTCACTGCCATTGAGTCGTGACTTATAGTGACACTGTAGGACAGGGTAGTGAATTTCTGAGACTGTCACTCTTTTTGGGTGTGGAAAGCCCGTCTTTCTCCCTTTCGAATGGCTGACCTTGGGGATTGCCGCCCAGTGTGTAACCACGATGCCACCAGGGCTCCTTTTCCACTTCTGCCGGGACAGATGCACCCTCGCTATTGCCAGTACTGACAGTTGGTGGTGCTTTCCAGTCATGTCATTGATGAGTAACATTGTCTCCTTTTTGACCTATGAAACAGGCTCAGTGGGAACACGACCCGTGGGCTGGACCTTTGCAATACTCCGAGCCCAGCCACCTCGGTCC